GAGGGAGCCGGGGGTCCACAGTGAGGACAGGAGGTGATGGGAGGCCTCAGGGCTGTGATGTTCTCTGCAGAGGAAATGAGGGCTCGGGGAGGTTCTGATCAGGAGAATGACCAAGAGCTCCAGGACAGTGGAGTGAGCACAGTCGTGCACATGCCGAGAGCAGATGAAAGACCCCACTGAGTCTGGAGGAAACCGAGAGCTGAGTGGAAGGAAAGACGAGCCCACACGAGGCAGAAGGCACAATCAAAGGAAGAGAGGACAGCACATTGCCACGGGCACAGGAACGGGTGAGAGAGTGTGCGCTTGCTCTCTGGAGCACCAGGGCTGCACACGGGACCATGGCTGGAGTCAGGGATGAAAAGACAGGCGGAGCAGATGGCTCTGGCCGGGAAAGAGAAGCAGGTAAACCTGACAGAGGCATCCATAGCCAGCCCTGTCCTCTCTCTCCACACAGCTGATGGCACTTTACTGACAGCTGATGGCACTTCCCGCCACCCGGGTCATACTCAGTGGTGCACAGCCATAGGGCTGCAGTAGGAAATCGGACCTGGAACGGGTACTGAATCCAAGGGATGCAGCATGCTCAGCGAAGGTTGCTGGAACTAGGCCAGGTATTTATGCTGGCTGCAACACTTGAGCATTTCAAGATTAGGGCACGGTGATGGGTTGAATTATATCCCCTGAGAAAATATATGTTGACGTCCAAACCCCCAGGACCTGTAAATGTGGAAATGGGGTAATTACAGACATAATTACTTAGAAGGGGGTCAAGCTGGAGGAAGGTGGGCCCCTAATTCGAAAGGGCTGTTCTTACATGAAGATGGCCACGTGAGGACGTAGACACAGGCTGTGTGAAGACAGAAGCAGAGGCTGGAGTGATGAGGCCATGGGCCAAGGAACACCTGGGGCCATGAGAGAGGGAAGAGGCAGGAAGGACCCACCTGAAGTTTTCACAGACAGCACGGCTCTGATGACACCTTGATTTTGTACTTCTGGCTTCCAGGACGCAGACAGTAATTTATGCTATTTTCAGTCACCCAGTTTGTGGTACTTCATTCTGAGAACTCTGGGAAACAAACACCAGCACTGTCCAAAATGCCCCTGAAGGTGGTGCTTACGGAAGGGGAGGGTTTGGTGGCTGGCTGCCAGGGGGGCCTGCAGGTGCCTGGCTCCGGCTGGCACCGGCACACACGGAACAGTGGTGACTGCTGTGCTAGCGAGTCCGTGAGTCCGCCCTGTGCATAAGTAATAGAATTGTGGAAAGGGTTGCTGCTGTGTATCAGCAAGTTGTCCTGCACACAATTTAATCACAGGCAGTGAGTCCAAACACACATTCTGCTGACCGTGGTTAGGAGGGGCCATCCTCTAGACCTCTCCTGCAGAGACAGTTCTCTTTCATAAACACAAAAAATGTTGGAAAACTAGAAAATGTCCACAGCAAAGACACAGCTTCTATTTATCATCATTTGTCAGCAGCTGTTAGCTGAGTCAAGCCTCCCAGTGGCCCTGACTCCTGCATGGATTGGGCAGCGAGGGGCAGGTCCTGACTGTGCCCAGGGGACCTGAATGAGGCAACAGCAGGACAGGAGGGTCGGGAGGGGCCAACCACAGAGGGACAGCAGGTGGCACAGCTGTAGAGCAGTGAGGAGCCTTGTCAGCGTCAGGAAAGAGGAAGCTGACAGGTGTCAGTCATTCAGGAACACAGCCCAAATTGTTCACCATTCATTCAGTGAACAAACATTTATCAGCTATCCTACGGCACTATGGGGAGTGCACAGTAATTACCATCATTTACTGAGTACTTGCTGTGTGCAAGGCACTAATATTCATCATCTCTTCATTGTCTCATTTTGTTCTCACAACACCAGGTCAGGTGGGTAGTTATCTCCATTTGCAGATAAGGAAACTGAGAACTGGAACACAAATCAGCATCTCCAAGGCTGAGTGTTAATTCATCCTCAGGGGTCTCTGCTGCCAAAGCTGCCAATCTCAATCAGTGAGCTGACACCATGCATTAAACCCAGACTTATCACAGTCCCTAACATAGGTAGGGGAAGAAATGCAGATGAAGGGGAAATGGGAGACAGGGAACAGGGGAGATAAGGGCCCAAAGCAAGCATGCAGGGTCTGCGAGGGCCACGGGAGGGAACAGGCAGTTTCGTTTCCCAGAATAGAGGAGCCATTAAAGGGGTATTAAAGCTGGGACTGGCATGATCTGAGAACAGTGTTGAAGGATCACCCTTAGGTCAGAGAGGGGCTAGAGCAGAATTTCAGAACAGAACTGAGGAGACTGTCAACACAGACAGGAGCAGGGGGAAAAAGGACCACTCACCAGCACACTGCATGAAGCCTGCCTCCTGTTCCCCACTAAGCTCCACTCAGAGCAAATCCCACTCTCAGGTCTCCATTCACTGGCTCCTGGGCCTTGCTTCACAATCAGTTGGAAACCCAGGAGAAGAATATAGGAGCATCACTTAATAGATCTCTAAAATCAGTATGGAAAATAGGAGCCTTTCTGGACATGGCAGAGCTAAGGGTTTGTCTTAGCTTTTTTGTTTATTTGTTCCTGTCTCATTTGAGAAAAAAGGATTATGAGCATTTTTATAAAAAGAAAGTGATCATCATTAGAGAGGGAGAAATGTAAGGACATGTCCAAAAAGAAGGGCTAATAGACAGAGAAACCATCTATTGAAAGGAAATTACTCCAGAACACAGCAGAAAGAACTGAGACGGGGCGTCCGGTCAAAGAGCAGATGGGCATGACGTGTGGTTCCCCATTAGGTCAGTAAGAACGGATGGCTCTGCACCCAGTCTCAGCGGAGGACTGAGTGGGGGACAGAGGCCAGAATCTGTCCTGGATAGAGGATCCACAGGAGCAGAGAACCAAGTCCAGCCACCCAGGAGTAGGACCAATATCTCAGGGTTCAATCAAAGAAGGAGCTGCCCCCACAGAACCCAGGACAGGGAATGAACATTGAACACGTACGAACTGGGAACCCTCAGTCAGGCTCAGCGCTCTGCCCCAAGAGTCGGGGCCTCCCTGGTGTGGCCAGGGGAGGGGTGGGGAGTGCTGCCCCGGGAGGAAAAGCAGGGCCGCTGTGAGCTGAGAATCTAAAACGTCCCGCGATCGACAGATGATGATGGCATCCCTGCCGTGACTGAGGTGAGCACTGGGCTAGCGCTCCGCGGCCCTTGTCTGCCCCAAGTCTCAGCTGGACAGAATTCCACCCAGAGGGTTAGAGAAGATGGCCATCTGATCAGCCCTGGATATCAGAGTCACATGTAAAGAAACACCTAGCATGTATAACTCATGCTATGACCTGAATTATTTTTCTAGGATATTCTTAAGGGTATCACTTTAGGGAAAAGAAAGAGACTGTGCTCCTAATTACTTTTCACTTTGCTTTCGGCAAACTCTAATTGCACTGCCCTTGGGTGACAGAATTTTGATTTCTAACTGGAAACTTTGCTTGGCTAGTAAAAATCAACAGAAAAATAGGAAGAACTTTGAGCTACACGGATAAAATCTTCAGGGATGGAAGTGGACTTTCCATAGAGAGTGGACAGGGTCAGTTCAACAGAAATAATGTTAATGGAGAGAATCTAGTTGCTCTTTGGTTTGGATAATCAATCCATGTTGCCCCATGGAAGCATATAGTCATTCTATTTCCTGGAGAAACTTGGTGAGAACATTTTCTTTTCTACAAGGGAGTCTTCAAAAGGCAAACTGTGATGGTTGGTTTGACTATATTATTTGACCAAATACTTGTGCAGTGTGTACACATACCCATATACACATGTATTCATAAGCAATAGATCTAGAGCAGTAGTTCTCAATCAGGAGCAATCTTTGGAAGCTTTTGTCATCACAGCTGGGGGCAGGAGGTATTGCATCTCGTGAGTATAGCTCAGGGATGCTGCTAGCCATCCTGTGACATTCAGCACAACTCCTCCTCTACCCAAAAGAATTATATGGCCCAGAGTGTCAATAGTGCTGAGCTGGAGAAACTCTGCTCTATATAATTAGCTTGGCCTTGGCAAACGGCCAGTAAATCTTTGTAGAATTTGAAAGCTCAAAATAGAAACTATGATAATGGCAGTTTGAAGATTTCATCTTAGTGCAAACTCTCAAATACAGGAGGGAATGGATTCCATATGGTACAGATATCTATCCACAACATGGTGTGTGTGTGTGTGTCCACGGTCACACATTAATATACACGTATACAGAGGGCTGAATTTCAGCTGCCACATCTCAGGACATGGTACAGAGCCAATGTCCTAGTGAGCGGGTGTCAAGTTCTAGCCCAAGACTGAAGGGAAGTTTCCTGGAGTTTTCTGATTTAAAAAAAAAAGACGTTGGAATGTGACTCTTCTTCCACTAGACACTGACACATTGAGATACAGGACGACAAGCTGCAGCACTGAATTAGCATCCAGAGCAGAGTCAGCCTGAGGACCAACCTGACAGACAGGCTGTGGATGCAGAGAGACCAGGGACAGGACTGGGTCCTTATTAACTTTTGAGCCAGTGATACAAGCAACTCTAAGGACAACTACCCCAACCTCCCAGTAACATGACTTGATATATATCTTTTTAAATCGGTCAAGCATTTGGAGCTACCAATAGCCACACACGTTCTTTTACACAGTGTCTGAATACTTCATGAAATGCTAGTAATTTTTCTTTTTAGATATATAATAAAGACATTTAGAAAAATGCACAAGTCTACAGATACCTTTGACACAACATCACGTTTTCTCAATTATAAACAACAGTATTAAAACCCAACATAAGTTTGATGAATATGAAATGAGTCCTATTCTCATGGTCTACACTGTTGCGAAGATCCCTGCTCTTTCTATCACCAAAGAGCCATATGATGTACAAAATGAAGAATTTGCTTTTCTCCAAAACTGTGACAGTTTGCTTTTGAGCACCATGTAACCAAGCATCAGACACACGAGAGGGACGCAGCAGGGGTGACTGTAAGACTTACCATTGAGCCACTTGGAGTTGTACTGGGCGGTGCGGAGAGGAGGTAACACGCCCAGACTCCGGTAGATGGCGGGATCGCGCCCCGGGAAATCCATGGCTGTAGCAGCGTACAGCTCCCCACTGGCTGTCAGGAGAGCCGTGGAGTTGTGCTGGGGACTGTAGGGACAGCGGGCCATGCCACTGATCTGATCATGGATCTCAGTCAGGTTATTCAACTGTGGGTGAGGATGGGAGACAGAAACCGGTTATTCCCGGGCAAGCCCATTAATAGTGCAGTGCCTGAACTGCTAACGAAGCACGGGGCTCAGGACAAGACAAGACGGGCTTCCACACTCTGCCTCTGATGACACTGCACACTGTGGTCGTGGGTAAAGAGTCCACGAATCAGTCTTTCTCATCAATAGAGTTCCAGAACCTCATACACACTAGTGAAACCTCACAAAATCTGAAGATTGTTCCTATCTTCATTGTTCCTATACGTTCCTATTCATAATGCCTGGGCCACAGCTGGTCTTTCCACTTGAATAATGACACATATTTCAATACTCAGAGAAATATAAACCACAATAAAGAACTATGTACAATTTTATCAATATAAGTGAATCAGTGTACTATGAACAACCTAAAACTGTGTTCTCAGGTGAGGATGTGTGGATATTTAGAGCACCATGTAGTCAAAATTTCCAAAATTTAATTATTCAGTTTTGAGAGACAACTCCATGTCTTGCTGTCATCTGGTGGGAATCCAGCCTGTCAATCACTGAACGAGAAGAGCACTCTGGGTGGTGAGGGGTCTCAGGTCCATTTGTTCCTTCGCTCTTTGCTGAGAGGCCACAGAGCAGAGGGAATGGGGGACCTCAGAGCCATCGCCTGCTCCGCAGGGAGACCTGTCATCTCACTGAGTTACACAAAGCCTTTCTCCCCCAACTCTCCTTATATAAAACAAGGCCCCAGAGGACAGCCACCGCATGGGGTAGAGATCAGCGACAGAGGGCTCACTCTTACAACGGCCTGTGGCACCCAGAGATCTGTGATCAACAGTTCTTATCAGCATCCTCCTCCCTTTATTTCCAATAACTGAATGTTAACACAAAAATAATGAACACTGAAAGCCGAGGATGGATTTCGCTTTTGAGAGAAGTTGTGCCACCAGAAAATTAACCTGATGCCAGTTTTCCATTATATTCCCCGAGGAAGATCAAATGATCATCCCACTTTGGGGAGAGGACAAGTGTGTTTTGATAACCCTGCCGCTCTCCCGGCGTACGCCAGGGACGTTGAAAATCCGTGTCAGTGACAAGAGCTTGAAAGAAAGAGAGAGGATCGGTGATAAGTGCTTCGCCTAGAGTTCCAGTTGTTCCCTTGCTTTAATTTTTTGCCATGCTTCTTATCCAATTTGTAACATGTTTGCTCATGTGGACTGTGGTTTTAGGCCACTTCAGTACTTAACAGTATCTCCAGAGTAAAGTTGAGTAAGAAAAAAGAGTATGTTTACTATTAATGTTTAGAGTCACTGGTGGGGAAAAAGCTGATAGAAATAGTTTCAAAACCTATTTATATTTAATTATATAAGCTATGGCTATTTCCAGTTCTTTACATAATTGAGAGTTGTGATTAGGAATAAATCAATACATAAATATTTATTCAATTAGATGAAAGAGTTTTGTTTTTTTTTAATTAAACAGCAACTTGTTGGAGAACAGAAATAAAATAAAATAAAATCCTGTATTTTAATAGAAGATTTAGATTTTCCTGTGTAAGTTTTGGCAACTCTCAACATGAAGCCGTACCGTGCGGTTGGTGCACACAGGTGTGAAAGCGTTGGTCCCACAGGTAAATAACCGGTCACCTCCCACCAAAAGCACCCGGATATAGTTCTGACATTCATCCTGAAAAAAAAAAAAAAAAATCACAAGATATACATTAACAAGGCCTCAGCACAAAGGGAGTGGTGACTCTAAATACACTCTGTCTGGCTAATAAGTGTTAATTGACCATTAAAAAATAAATAAACAAAAAACTCTTGGATATCGAGCAAAAAATAGCAATAAAATTATGAAATAATCTTACAATCAGAATTCTTGTTTAATAGAGCATACTATGTTCAATGAAAATCTCAAAGCATGTGTCTTCTTTTCATGAATATAGTTTCATTTTAATTATATCTGATAGCAATAGGAACACTAAATTGCCTTTGACATGTATTAGGAAAGTAAATAAAAAGAACACATTCAATGCTGCTCATAAAGCAGTATCTTGGAAAACTTCCCCAGGACTTTGAAAAAACATTGTGAGTGTTTCTCCAAAGGTGAAGGTCACATGTGAAACTCTGCGTTCGAATTAGAACAAGTTTTACATTAAGTTCTCAAGCTGTGTTACATACATAGGAAGACTATTAACATTGTTGTTCTTTGACAGACAAGTAAAAATATAACTAACAAAGAAAGGATTTCTGAAGCATGGGAGCAAAGCCCATGCTGAGGGATGGCCCAGAGCTGTATATTTCTTGTAGCTGCAAAGTACTCATAGAAATTCTGGGGCAGGGTCATAGGGGTGCACGGACTTTGAGCAAGCATTTACTGATCAGATACTCTTTGGTAGGCACTGTGGTGAAAATCACAATAGTAGGTTCTTAACAGAAAAATTAAAATACAGGGTCATAACAATTATTTTAGAGTTGTCCACAGAAGAACAGAATATGTCTAACTCCAGAGGGGAAGGGAAGGAAAGAGGTGTAGGAAGGCTTCCCATAGGAGGTGACACCTACCATCAGTTCAGAGGAAGAGTAGAATTTACTGAAGCTTCCTGAAGGAGGCACAGTTTGACACCTGCAGGATTTTACTGAGCAAAGGAGGCAAAATACATTCCAGGCAAGGGGGCAGACTGTGCCAAGGTACCCTGGCTGGAGAAATCATGGTGCTTTCACTCTGTAGAGAAGAGGTAACAACAAGCTAGCAGCCAGACACAGGCCAGGTGTGCCAGGCTGATGACTCTGCATTTTATTCTGATTTGAAGGGACCTATTATATGTTGTTACTGCATAAAGTTCTGGCGTGATCCAATGTTTGTGATTATAAGACTACTGAAGAATCAATATGGAAGCTAACCTGGAGGTAGGGTGACTGCATTTCAGAGACAGGTAAGGAAACCACTTCCACAGTCAGTCCCTCCTCATCCCATGCTTGGACCATGTGGGAGTGTGAAAAGGCAAAGCCAGGATCCAGCCAATCAACAAGATGTGGGCACTGACCAACCAGCTGGACCAAGAAGGTGACACAATGATTTGAAACACATATTGTTCCAAGTCAGGGAGATCTGGAGCCCAGCATTGCTCTCCGTCAACCAGATGAACCCTAGTCTCCATGAAATGTTTATTTGTCACAACTCAGCCTGCTGTGTGGGCTGGTTGTGAGGATGAAAGAGCAAAGCTATTTGAAATTGCTTTCTAAATGTAAACTGAAATATCAAGAGCAGATAAGTCTCCTAATACTAGTACTAACAATAAAAATAATAAATGATCATTAGGTGCCTATCTGAAGACACTTGAACTGGGGAAAGAAAACCACAGAATGAAAGATCTAAGATAACTATCAGGAGAATTAAGAACTGAGTGTAAACAGGAGATAGTAAATTGGGTAAGTGAGAAAGGTGCACCAGAGCGGGAGGTGTGTCTTGTTTTGTTCTGTTCTGTTTTGTTTTTATAAAACTGGGGAGAGGGCAAGGGAGTTCAAGAGAGAAAGAAGAAACAAGACTTCAAAGAACCACATCGTCATCTCTTCCTAGCTCTGGGAGTGTACAGAGAGCGCAGGAGGTGGGGCCTTCGACTTGGGAAGCAGAGGGGCAGGGTTTGCAAAGACAGGATCAGTGGGAGGAGGAAAACACAAAGCTGGAGCTTGTCTGAGAGGAGTCGGAAAAGACACCTTGGAGAACTCAGGGCCAAGAGGGCCTGATGCACGAACAGATAAAACGGACACAAACATGCCACCATAATGAAGAATGAGATGGAGAAGTACACACAGTGCAGAGAGGTAGGGATTTTGTTCGTTTTCTGCTGTTGCTTTTAGAATCTTTCAAGAATGAGTCAAGATGTTCTTTATTTATTATTATTATTTTTATTGGTTGATTTTAGAGAGAGGAAGAGAGAAGGAAACAAGGATGAGAGAAAACATCGATTGGCAACCTCCTGCATGCCCCCCACTAGGTATTGGGCCCATAACCTGGGCCTGTGCCCTTACTGGGAAGTGAACAGGCAAACTCTTGGTGCCTGGGTCGACACTCAACCACTGAGCCACACCAGCCAGGCAAAATGTTGTTTATTTTTTTTTTAAGCAAGAGAGTGATTCAAGATAGAAATATGCTAGAGGTAGTCCCTATTAACCATGAACAAGGTCAAGGGTAAATTATTCCAAGAGAATGGTTCAGATTGAAAAGACGTGATCTTGAGGCTGAATTCTAGGGACCTGCTGAAGAGGGAGCCTCTAATCAATTACAGGAAGGCAAACAATCAAGGTAAGGTGGTATTTACCTTCAGAGCCTCAAAGAAAGACCAAGTGAAAATAGGACTTTAGATCCTTAACATTCCTGAAAGCCAATCACGAACTTGGGAAAGATGGTTAGGAAATGTGATAACCAGGACTCAGACCTGTGCCAGGGAGGCAGGGCAAATCCAGCTGGTAATTTCTTTTTTTAACTTTGGATAAAAGTAAATGAAGGAGAAAACAATATTATTTCAACTAGCACATTATTTTTTTAAAAAGAAAAAAGCCTGGTCGGGTCATCAGGATCACCCTGGGTGGCTCTGCTGTGTGAGGAGGCCGAGTGCCCGGGATGGCCTGCTCTGGCTCAGTGGGTATGCAGCAAGGAAGAAGGCAAATGTCAAGAACCAGGACAATCAGACAGAGGGTCTGTGCAGTCCTCTTCTAAAAGGATGGAAGAGGACTGACCTCTATGGAGCCAAGACTTGCTCACGATAAGTGGGACCTAAGGAGGGTGATGTTCTAGAGGAGTCCAGCATGTAAGGTGTGATGGAACTTGGTGTCCTACAAGAGAAACCTTCAGAGGCAGGTGGTATTTTGTTTCTTCTTAACTGTCAAGAGCTGAACTCATTTGCCCAAAAGTTTGGCTCATTTCATCTCAGACCCTTCCTATTATTACTCACTTAGACATTCTCTTCGGTTGTTCAACTTATCAACTGCCCAACGGATTCTAGAATCAGTCAATGTGAATCCCAAATAAAGAAATACATTTAAAATAATAACTTGTTGGGGTTTATTGGAAGCAAGATTGGGGCAAGTTCAAACAAAACAAAATGTAAAATCATAAAAATAGGAGAAAGTGAAGGTACTCATCCTTTGAGCAGAAGATAAATTTAGAAATAAAAAGAGTCAAAATGAAGAATGAAAGCAAATGGTCTGTGTGCCAGGATTTGTAATAATTAGTCTCTCCTGATGGTTATCCAAAGACCCAAGTTCTCATACAGAAAATCTCCTGGTGAACCTCTTTGTAGGTCTGTGCTACAAAAGTGGCCTTCACATGGGTTTGCTGAACTTGCTGGAAGGACTGCATGGAATCACCTTTTTTAAAGTAGAGACATAATATAGAAGCCCTTTAGGTGATTGTTATAGATTTCTCTTATAAGTCTGCTTATCTAAATGTCTTTGAATTTTTTTTTTCTCATTTAAGATTTTTTTCCCTTTATTCCATCTTCAAAATGGTAGAAGGGAATTTAATGAATTCTGGTTTTCCAAGAAGTCATACTGCTCATTTCCAAGGCCACTAGCAGCATGCCATCACGTGGCTTCTGTTGTTGATAAATGACAGTCATCTATCTACATTTTTAAAATACCACTTGGACATTAAATGACCCATGTGTGCCTGTGCTCCTGCAGGCTGGTCAGCCTGTCCTTGACTTCCAAGCCATTCTTATCTGAATTGATAGCCAAGATGCATAGTTGCTGACTCACTGAGAGCTTTTAGATGAGACTGGCCAAGGCTCACTTGGTCTCAAGGACATGAGGTCTGGCTCCAGAGGAGAAAACACATGTTTTAAGACCATCTTCTTAATGAATTAACTGGTTTTGCCTTATAACATTTCATCATTTTCCTTTCAAACAGTTATGTTCTGCTTGAAGGAAGACTGTAATTGTATAGAAAGATTAACTGTGGCCAGGGTAGATGCCTCAGCAACAGCCAGCCCATCACCAAACCCATCAATTTTAGGGAGGAGGGAGGAGAGCTTGGAGCTTGACAGCCTTTATGTTAATCACAAAACTCCCACTGAAAGCAGTGTGTCTGTCTCTTAATGATGCATTACCTTTGTGAGAATCCAAGGAGCAATTTAAAGTAATTGCATGTGCCTTTTAGGTTCATTGTACACCAACCAAAGTCATGATTACCAGGCGGATCTTAAAAAACCATATGATCCAATCAGGTGTAAATATGTACAAATGCATACGACTTATATGTGTATTTCATATGTATAAATGTGCATAGGTATTACAGAAGTATATATACATACAAGTGTGGGCAAAAGGAGATTGGACTTCAATTGCCTCAGGGGGCAGTTGGTCCGAACCAAGCAGGTCACAGACATTCAGCTTCGTTCACTGATTTTCAAAGATTACAAGAAGGTGTAAATAATGAAGGCTGGAAAGTTGAGCACTTACAAGATTGTACTTAAATGCACTTTGCTGCTGACATTCTTGTGAATTTATAAAGCTATTGTAATAATTATAACCTGCATGTCTTTTTCTTTTCTTTTTTTCAAATCCTCACCCGAGGATATTTTTCCATTGATTTTTAGATAGAATGGATGGGAGAGAAGGGGAGAAAGAGAGAGACACATATCGATGTGCAAGAGACACATTGATTGGTTGCCTCCCGCATGACCCTGACTGGGGCTAGAGATCAAACCAGCAACCCAGGTACAAACCCTTGAATGGGAATCAAACTCATGACCCTTTGACTGAAGACTGACACTCTAACCACTGAGCAAAACCACCCAAGGCACCTGCATGTCTTTTTCCATATGACCAAATGAGAATCTATATTTTCCCATCCTTGTATATAGATATACTGTTATATCAATATTTATATAAATTAAAGAGATATAAGTATGTTTATAAATATATAGCTATGTATATATGCAAATGTATATTAACATTATACTATGTTCTATAATACATAGCATGTTAATAAATTAAATTGTAATTACTATACTTATATTTACATAATGCGACCATTTTCAATGAAGTTCACTCCATGAGAAACTTGTTTGGGAACCTTGATATGAAAAAGAACGAAATTTGATGAATGTAACCTGCACAGGCAGTTAGTATCTAATCTAAAGAATCCTCGATTTTTGCAGCAATTATATAGGATAAAGGCAGTTCTGTATTTGCCAGGAGCATTGATTGACTCCTAGCTTTCCAAATACTGGCAAGTGAAGTGAAAATGTCAAGTTTCAACCCTGATGCCACCAGATTCCCAAGCAAGAAGGTGTCCTGTGTTTCTCTGCCCACTCAGGTGGAGGTTAGCTGTTTGCCTGCACAAGCTGACAACCTGGGAACAGGACCACAGGGCACAGCAGGGGAACAGTAAACAGTGGCCTGCATCCATATCAAAACTCTCCCACTAACTAGCAAAATAATTCTAGTAACCTGGTGTTGAAAGTACCAAAATGAGATCATGAAAAGAAACTTTTGAAAATTATAAAGGGCAACATATACACAAAGCAGCTCTTTCATTCCCTTAACAATTAGTTGCGTTTCCTTTGTAGCGTTCCTAAAGGTCATGGTGGGAAGGGCTTTGGCTCAGACACAATAACCCCAAACAGACAAGGAATGCTTGTTAGATCACCAGAGAATTGGTTATTTATGTTTAAAATAATATTTGTGTAAAAGACATTTAAATAGTTCTCCAAGCCAAATGCTATAAGCGAATTTCAAAAAGTACTAAATACAACAGATTTTATTATAAAAGGTTTTGGAATGTATAAAAACACATTTTTTTCCCTCTTTTAACACGGGGCATGTTTAAGCCATGGCAGCAAAGACATTCCCATCTCTCCAAAGTGAGCTGAAAATTGTGAGAATAAAATAGAACGCAAACTTCAGGAAGAATTAGTCTCGTTGTCTTACTTCTCTTCTAAACAAGCCCAAATCAAAGATTTTTGCGACATTTTCTTGACCCCGATTCTCTAAATTGTCCCTGGAATGGACTATGCATGAAACGATGTGGGCGTCCGTCCCCGCAGTCCCAGGGAAGCAGGAGGGACGGGCGATCCCTCTTCTCCCTCTGTGCAGTGGGCTCCGAAAGGTTCCCACGGAGAAGTGTGGGGGCGCGGGCGCCCCCCCAGCCTGCCCTGTTCACGCTCCACATTCCCGGCTCCACAGGACAATACATTGTGCAGAGCAGCACAGACCACTTTTCTGAGCGTAGGAAAAAAACATTCAGTCCAAATGGCTGGCATTTTTCTCATTTTCGAGATGTCATATTTTGCATTATTCTTTTTATTTTAGGGAGAAGGGAAACTTTGTAATCCTGTGTTCACTTTCATAATACTAAGCACAAACAAAAATATGTAACAGTTGAATTCTCATTTCTAAACCCATGGCTACAAAGAAAAGTCTGACTTCCAATGCCTGCTAACCGATGTTGCATTTTAGTCAGAGTAACTCTAAGAACATTTTCTGATTTGGCCCCGCACTGTCAGAACAGGGAAATCCCGAAATCGGGCTTAGCCTGTGGACAGGTGGAGTTTCGCCCAGCTGCTCCTTTTCACTGGGGCCGCCTTCCCTCCTGTGCCCCAGGAGCTGGGCTCCGTTCTCTCATCAGATGGCTCCTGTGTCAGGTGCCCTATTAAGAAAGTAACAGAGCCCTGGCCGGGTGGCTCAGTTGGTTGGAGCATCACCAGTACACCAAAAGTTTACAGATTCGATTACCAGTCAGGGCACATACCTAGGTTCAATCCCCCTGGTAGGGGCACCTATGGGAGGCAACTGATCAATGTTTCTCTCTCTCAATCTCTCTCTCTCTCTCTCTCTCAAAATTCAATGAAAAACATATCTAGGGAGAGGATTAAGAAAAAGAAGAATTAAGTCATCAGACAGTGCCCTGGGACCCTGGGAGGTGGCAATGTCACCAGGCAAAGGGGAGGATGTTGGCATTAGAACCATGGAAAGAAAGGCTGATGTTTTCCGTCAGTGAATCTTTCTAGAAGAATGAAAAGTGACATTTTTTCCCCACCCCACACCCAGGTAAATCTGATTCCCTACATTTCATTCCGCAGCACGGGTGATCTTGTGTGAAGAACTCCCTGTGCTCTGGCGAGTGAGGAGCAAAAGTATAATAATACACCTGCCATATCAAGACATGTAAATATTACAGGGAAGAGAAAAAAGCCATCTAGAAAGCATTTTCAAAAGGCATATGCATAAGCTATAAAAACTCAGTAAGGTTATCGAGGTAAATAAGCTTATTATGTACTTATATATTTGGGGGGGTATTTTAAGAGACAGTAGTCTGATTCTTCTTCTGTCTGTGTGTCTTTGATGGCGTATTTCAGAAGCATTTTCTGAGGTTAGAGATCTTGGGGTCACTAGCCTTTCTTTTTCTTTGTCTCTGAGTATTTCCCTGACTAAGATTGTATTTTCTTCCTTCTGTTCCCTTTTCCTAGTTCCTAATTCAGCTTAGGGAAACCCTATGACTAAGTTTGTAGAGACTTAGGTCCATGTCTGACCCTCAAAACTGTTGAGTTTAAAGACAGAGAAACAGCCCTGGTCGGTTTGGCTCAGCGGTTAGAGCGTCGGCCTGCGGTCCTGAGAGACCCGGGTTCGGTTCCCGCTAAGGGCGTGTACCTCGGTTGCAGTTTGTCCCCGGCCCTGGTCGGTTGTGCGGGTGGCAGCCACTCTATGTGTTCCTTTCACGTCGATGTTTCTCTCTCTCTCTCTCTCTGTTCCTCTCTCTCCCTCCCACTCTACCTGAACAAAAAATGGAAAAATGTCCTCGAGTGAGGATAAAAAAAAAATATATATATATATATATATATATATATATATATATAAAGATAGAGAAACAGGCAATGAAATTAGGTGAAATGAAGTGCAGGACAGTCTCTTACAAATACAGCTGATGGAGCATGTTTTCCCAGTGATGCCCTTCACCTGCTAAATGTTTCACCTGAGACCACACTAGGGAAAGAGTGAGCCCTCTTTGCTGCTGTTCGTGGATCGACTTCCTTCTGGAACCCGATGTGTGACTGACGTTGGAAAGCCTTTGATGCAACAAAGGAAGGTGATCACTAACAGAACGAGACAAAATGAGCCTAAGAACCAGCGGCAGAAGAGTTTCCTCAAGATGATGCAGCATCATCTTCTCAGAAGCACGAGACTTATTCAGAAGTAGGAACCACCGCAGCCTGCTCTGGGCCAGCGCACTGCGTGAAGGTACCCCGGCCACGGGCACCGATGCTCAGGACGTGCGTTTCCACACAGAGCTGTAATCTGCTCTTTCCTTAGGAACTTGGGGCGTAGTGACTATTGTGGAGCGAGTGTTTATTTTAAAAACATGTTAAATAAATGATAAAGAAATCTCAAATCACTTTTGCTGCCATTATTTTAGATATCATATAGTTATTTTCCAGAATTAGCCATAAGGCACAACTGGGAGAAATGAAAACGTTATTTTAAAAATTCAGGCCCACATTATTCTAAATGATATCATAACCCATTAATTTCTTAGCTACCGTCTAATGACTGAGAGTGTCAATTAGATCCGATCTTATGTTCTAAATCCCTTTTGGAAACTAATTTAATGTTAAAACCAGGAGAATTTACTGCACATATATTTCAAACCTTGCCTTTTTCACGGGGCCCCCTAACCAGGAATAGCCTTCACTTTAACACGCTTTAAGCTCCCGCGGTGGCGCCCTCCTTACCTCCGACTTGCCCTTACTGTAACAGGCCTTCTTGGTCGCGTCGTCACACTCCCACTCCACAGCCTGTAGGGGACACAAAAATAACAGCAACGATTACAGCTTTGCTTTACAAAGGGGGTGGGGACCACCAGGGGGCACAACATGACACCAGTACGTTCAAGATAGTACAGAATTTAGAACAAGTACATAAAATTAAGTCGGACGAGTTTATACTGAGCTAAAACTGAAGAATTTCAAAGGACTCAGCCCCAAGTCATTGCATGTAAGCAGTGATCGTGATATTTAGACCTAGTCACTGTGAGAGAGGCTGGTCCAGCGTGTTGGCGACTAGGGCACGATGACAGAAACCGTCACTTTCCGATACCACAGAACAAACCCATAGCATGCTTCTAAGAGAAGCCTCAAAACAAAATGAACTAAATACTCATTTAGACATTTACAGCTTATTTTAATACTATGCCATCTATCAATATTCATAGATAATGAAGCAAGGACAATTTTGCATATCATTACTCCCAAGATACATATATAAGTGGTGAAGTCAATAAAATAAATAGCTCTTGCAAAAAAGCACATCTACTACCCCCTCCTCCAAGAGCAGTAATTTTCAAACTGCTATTACCTCTCACTAAATATTTAGAGCCACAACTTTTAAGTAATTTTTTCTCAGACTTTCCAAATCTAACTCATGCTGACCAAGTGGCTGGGTACTTACACATCGGACACTAACTCAAATGGAGCCCGTGACTGGTTAAGAAAACATCCAGCGCTTACTACATAGGAGGAAATGATGCTTGAAAATGCTAATGATCTCTATGCTGCAATGGAGAATCAGTTTTTGAAGAAATGTATGCATCTGAGTTGTTTATCTTTTCCATTACAGTATGGAATGTGAACTATTATGGGTAAAAATGTTTTCTCTATCTGTGCACGTTATAATTATGTTCTATCTTAATATTAGAGTGGAAGGTCTGAAGAATCCAGGGTTTCTGATTTAACCCTGGTTAAATCACTGTCAGAAAATAATTCAAGCGAGGGGCAATTATTTTGATAATTTGAACTAATGTGAAATAATAAACTTAATTAGCCCAAAATAAACTAATTTCAAACAGGATGAAGAATAAGGGCTTCACTTTTACTACTAGAAAGAGTTTTCTTCTAATTCCCTTAAATATAGGGGTGGGGAAGTTAGTATGTCATACTAACACCAGTATCTAATTTTTACTTGTCCTCTAAAGAATGCTACATGACAAAGATTAAAACATGAAACATGGCTTCTTGCATAACTTATCTAACTTGGCAAGTGTGAGTCTATAAGAAAAGTCTTCCAGAGAGAACACTTCAGTGCCTTTCAAACATAAACAATGCTACAACTGTTCCCCTTGTGCAGGCTTAGAGATATTTATAAGTGTCAACATCTGATAGGAGAACTTGATTCTTTCTGTGATGTTTTCCTGTTCATAAGGTTTAATGGCAACAATAAAGTCACAGTTAATCAGCATCTCATGCAAACAAATGACTTGAATTCCATGGTACGGTGGCAAATACTTTCATGGAAAGTGATGGCATTTCCATAAGAGATAAGAGCTTCATGTACAGTCTCATAACTCTATCCCCGAGAAGCACAGATAAAATAAATACATTCTGAGAGGACCTTTCCCTTCTTAGATCTCTTTATAAAAGCTCACTCTGGATTTTATTTATATAAAGATATCCATGCCTCTGCCCTCACTTAAACTCAAAACAGAATTGATCCACTATGATATATTCTTTTAGCAAAGTAGGCCTCATTATAACTGTAATTTTATATTACCCAAGAGGATTTAGTGTTCTACATCACAGGGACAAATTAATTTCTATACAGTGAAATGCTTTAGATAAAAAGGTATTAATAGTGGCCCTCAGTGGTCTGACGTTTTTGTTGAAAGTTAAATAGTAATGCTCTCTTCAGTAAACGTAAGAGCTAGGAGGAACAGGGTTAGTCCCAGAGTTATGAGAAGAATATTTATCAAAGGATGTTATCTGATCAGATCTTTCTGCCAAAATGGCAAACAGAGGGTTTCCCAAGTCACCTAATTCCCAAGTACCCTTTGCATTTTCAAGATAAATACTGGCCAACAATGGGAAAGAAAAAGTAATCTAAAAATGAATGTAAGAGATTTCAAAAATATGTCATTACTTTATTCAGTTGACTAAGAAAGAGCAACAGCACTCATAAGTTTATCAGACCGTCAGAAAACAGGACAAATCTTAGATTTTACTGAACACAGTTTCTAAAAGTAGCAAAATTCACTTTCCTGGGGCATTTTCATTACACTATTACCACCTTCCCAAACAATATTCATATCCAGAATTAATTAAAAACCATAATTGTATAGCTTTTCTGTTGACTCGCTTTCTACCTCAATAAAAGATAGAACAAAGGGAAATTATATTAGCAGGGGAACTAAGCAACCTATTATAAAGCTGAACACATATTATTGGATATCACAGAATGTGGGAAAGAATGGAGTTGGAAAATGTGTGTGTGTGTGTGTGTGTGTGTGTGTGTGTTTTCATATTGGCCTATAATTGGGTATTCCAAATTAATCCCATAGTATTTTTCTATTCCTTCAGTGAACTAGACTACCCATTTGACCACTGTGTGGAAAAACAAACAAAAAAAAACACAAAAACTTTCATTGGAGAGAAATATAAATATCAATGCAACTCTCCTGTAGGAGATCTTAGTTCTCAAAGTTACTCATCATTCTGTATAAAATTAGATTTTGTTGTAACCTGGTCATGACTTGTCTCAGTCCGTAAGACTTGTTCTAATCAACTAAACTTGTAATCAAGCCTTCCTGCTCTCTTCGCAACGGAGAGTCTTGGTTATTCTTTCATGGATCACCACTTTGGAACAAATCTCACCACCAATCGTGGAGCCATTATTATGATAGACTTCCTTTTAAGATACTTTTCTACCTACCCAAACCAATATTTATAATAGTCAAAACAAATGGGAAAACAGTCTTCACTCTACATTCCAGCTCTCAATATAACACTCATCAACTAATTTCCTGAGTCTCTGGGTTGTTTTAATCTTTAGTTCTTGTCATCTCTAGTCTTTTTCCATTGCACGATATCCCAGTAGAGAAAAGAAATCTTAATTCCCTATTCTATTCTGCATTTATTCTTCATTATATTTTTCAGGAATAGACATGTAGCAGGAATACAGCCATTACTTGGCCAGTCAAAGGCTACACATAGTAGGCAAGGAGTTTCAAACACCTGTATTTTAAAAGACATGAAGATTCTTGTTTGTGATGTCTTTTGGTGAGGGGTGGGCCTGTAAATACATGCAAATAACATCTGTGGTCTTCAACTACATACAAAGGTTTTGCTCTATGCAGAGGCATTCAATCTCTCTTTCATGCAATAAATATTCAGTAGGTACCAAGCAAGTGCAAGGCGTTGCACTAGATGATGATTGACGAAAGGAAAGACAGATGTATAGATAATATTTGCACAAGTCAGATATTAGCTTATAATAAAACATGTCTCCCTTCAGTCTAGACAAGATCATGAGAATGCAACAATGCCATTTTCATTGTTACAGTAGCCACGTTCACCTCAGATCCAGTGATGGAGTGGATCTTACTACATCATCAACTTTCAAGAAGTGACACTATTACAGCCAGATCTAAAAGGGAATGGAGTAGGTTTACCGAAAGTCATTTTTTTGGCTGCAGAACCCGGAAACATGCAAGGAAGGAAGCACCTAGGGTTCCGTGGTCCAGTGCACGCCTCACTGCCCCGCCCACACATGCACACATGCTCAGGTTAGGAGGTCTCAGGAGTAAATCAGATGCGAGAAAGTAAAACAATTGGCTCTTTTTATGTACATGTTTCATACATATAAATCCACAGTTCTCAGAATTACATAAACAAAGCTGTGTATATCACATTCCTTGATGAGAGAAGTTAATTAGACAGGGACCAGCAAAGGCAGATACTTTTCATAAAAATGAAGAGAACAACATTCTTAGGCAGATGGGCCACTACTCTTTCAGCAGATGGCTTTGCTAATTAGATACTGGCAAAAGATAACATTTAAAAAAACCTAGTTTAATTACATGGTGCCAAAAATTAACAACCACCTGAGGGCTTTATTTATATGTTTGCATTCATATTCTTATGGCGTGTATTCCTGTGAAATGCTGGAGAATGTTAAATTGTCAGGGCGATTATAAACACATCGCCAGAAAATGTGAGGCCGTGCCTTCGTTCAGAACAGAAGCAAATACAAACAAGCTGACACTTGAAATCACAGCAGTCTGCATGTAACTTGAATGCAGTGTCGATCTAGTTACCTTGAGCATGGATGCCGTCACTCATTACCTTTGGTGGCCACGTGTGACCGGTGAAAACAAGGGGCACTGAAGGGCCCATGCTGTGCACTGAGAGGCACAGAGGGACTGCAGTCACTTGGGAAAATGTGTCCAGCTTTCCTCTCTGCCTTTACTTCTGGGTGGATATAAACTGCACTCATTCACTTTTAATAGTAATTTGCCATATGCTTGCATTTACGTCCATGTCAAACACAGGCACGTCCATGTCATTCTTACCGGTGACCTCTGAGAATCAGAGAATTGGGAAGGGACTTTAGTTATGTATCTAACTACTCTTTTTTTTATTCTCATTACACTGATATCCTCCAAAATTAGAGATAAATCATAACCTTAGAACATCCCATACACATGCAGTATTGTCATTTTTACACCTTATTTTAAAGCCCAAGATTTTCTCCCACATAATATTACCAAATCCAACTCACTCTGAGAACGGCACCTGGGGCCCCCGGAGTGTTATAGGCTCACTGAGCCTTTTATTTAATTGGGCTTTTTTCAAGTGAGGACTGTGTTTTAATTGAGCAGACAGGGTATTAGACTCCTAGGGCTGTTGTAAAAACGTACCACAAACTGAGTGGCTTTAAACAGTAGAAGAAACCTGTTCTCTCTCAGATGTCAAGGCTAGAAGTCCTAAATCAGAGTGTCCATAAGTTTGGTTCCTTCTGAGTCGGT